TTGTTATAGAAGGTCCGTAAAGCCAAATCTTTTAAAAAAATATTGAACACAAAATAGGTTGCTTTTGGTGCTCATTTGTTACGCAAAAAATATTGTTGCTCTTCAGTTGGACTGATATACACATTCGGCTACCCCTCAAGTTAGCACCGCAATGATAAAAAAAACAAGAAATTATAAAGATAAATACAAATAATTACATGGGAATTTGTCGCTTTTTCGTTGGCGAAAGTTAGCGAATTTGGCAAAATTTTGCATTTCCGGTATTAGTTGAAGTGCAACAAAATTTGTTTTTCGGGAAATATTGAGCAACAAGCAACAAATTCACTTGTGATTAATTTTCATTAATCTCTGTAATTTCTTGGTTTTCTTGCCCCTCTCGTCTTACTACGTATTTACAAAGACAGTAATCAAATGCCGAAGGAAAAATCTGCTATTTTTCGAGGGAAAAACTCGTATTGTGAGGCGGTGTTATCGAAAGAGTTACATCTGATTCCTGATGTAGTAAATTACTTCTTGTGACATGTTGTGTAAACAGAATTAACGTTTTGGGGGTCCTTGAAACTGAAAAATTGATTGATGATAATACATGTTGTTTCTGCTTGTGTTCAATGCTAGGATCTAAATCAGGGCTGTCCAAGTGGCGGCATTGGGGTCGGGGTGTCATTTACTGTGGCTCGCGAAAGGTTATTAGGCAAATCCCTTTCGTTCATGTCAAGCGAAAACATTGCACACCTAGCACATGCGCCCTGCTGGAATCAACTCTCATTTTGATGGAAAAATAGGTTAATTTAAGATTTGAAGAATTTTTTCTTGTCAATTCAAAAGTTCAATATCATCTCTATGTGTTTAACTGCGTTAAATCAATTCTCGCCCCTCTCGTTTCAGAGTGTAACGTCGTGTGTAGTGATCTACACCACAAGGAAACAGACACGAGTGAGTTTTATTTACACACTGTACATATTTACAACTCTCACTCTAAGGCGGTTTGCCAGAGCTACCACTGCAGCCCTCCTCTCCCTACATGCGCCTTGCGGCGACGCCTACGACCAGCTGGCAAGGCCGCGTCGTAGATTGGCACCTGGTGTGCCCCGGCAGATTGACGATCTGCCCGAATGTGTTTGAAGAACACATCACCCTGTCCGAACTCGTCGAACATCCACGTGCCCTCGGCACTCCGCACCAGCCTGGGCGGACAAAGTTTTTTGTGGTCTAGCCACGAGGAAACCAGAAAACGTTACCCACTCGCGCCGTCTCGCCACGGTGTCTTTATAGGTCCAGGTCACCTGACCTCCTACGTCACTACTCCCCACCCCCGCGCGGTGGAAAGCCTTTCCCTGGCGCTGCCTGGCCCGCGGACCATTTACGGTCGGAAAGTCCCTTCTTTGTTCTATCTTTAGATACCCCAGCCCTCTTCCTTGCACTCGGCTTGCTGCTGCCAAGCCGTGACGCTACAAGAGCATCGGGGTAAACTGCCTATATCATCAATAGGGGGCTATGTGTGGATCGTCCGAGTAATCAAAATATGGCCCACAACCATATTAAATATTTAAATTGTGGCCCTTCAGGTCTTGGTGGTTGGACACCCATGGTCTAAACCGTTCTGCCAATTTTCTCCAAAACTGATATCCCCTGATCGATCTGGACAAACACGAGGTCCTGTGAATTTAAAGTGAATATTTTGATTTATATTCAACTGAAGACTTTATTATTTAAGACGAGCATATTCAAAGCACTCGTTAATATTTGTTGAACATGAAATTTGATATACATAAACTTTATTGACAATCACGTCAATTAGCCATAAAAACATTGTTAAAGGAATTTTTATTTTGTTCCCATTACCAGGAATTTTTGCTGTATTGATTACAAAAAATCATTTACCCCCTTTATGAATCTCCAGAATAACTCTTTTACTTCACGTTCAAAACTAGCACTAAAACTAAAAACCGTACGATGTGAAAAAGTGTGTTAGAACATTTCTTAAAGAACACTTTATTACCTTTCATCTAAAACCAATAGCAAAAAATATCGGACCAGGGATTACAAAGATAATGGTGTATGCATTATGATATCATAGACCATCTTTAATGGCAATTCTAGATAATCCCGACCACCACATTTGGTGACTCAGGGGCTATTTTACCTTAGATGCAAATATACCACGTGCCACGGCACGGGCCTCGCGCTTTTCGAGGTCCCTCGGTTTCGTAACTTCTTGAAAATGATTCAGAAACTTAGTTCACCAAAAAATAAAAATGTAGTTTATGTAGTTAAATAAATAATCATAAGACCAACAATTTACGAAATGTTTTGCTTACTACTTGGCCATTTAGGCGTTGTGTATTTCTGGAATTTAAATATAATAAGTCGCTTCTAAACTACTAGGTCATCTAGCGTCCACTGTGATTGTTTATATTGGGGTACCTGTAGAGGGAAACACGACACGTAAGAACACGAGTACACATAAACATCCATGCCCAAGAGCGGGATTCGAGCCCGCGACCCTCCGAGCCGAGGCAGCTACAGACCTGCCTTAGTGACGTCGGCTATCCATGCCGCGTAAGGCTTTTGTTGCTTTTATTGTAGTTTGTTATGGAAGACTAGTATCTTGGATATCAGTTTTATTACCACTTCCTGGAATAAAGTTCCCGGGATTCTTCGTTGCAAGCAGTAATAGTGTTTCAGTGATACAAGGTTGTTGCGCTGTGAAATAAAAATGTGTTCGATGAAGAAATTTCGGTGAAAATTATCTTTAAATAGGTGAGATAGTTGTAATGTTCATGATTTATTTATTAATGTAGTTGTTAATTTTATTTGTCTTTTTAGGTTCTTCAGTAGACATTTTCTTGGGACATGCCGAGCGACAAATCTTCGGCCGTATGGCTTTCGCGACACATTCACAACGTTCTACGTCCATGTAAAGTTGTCAAAGGCTAGATGCTAGATTTCATTCCATAAAGTTGATTGTGCAGAAATCGTAGAATTGTATGACGGAAATCTGGTGCACCTTGCAGTAATTAATGAATAGTAAGAAAATACTGAAAAATGTATATTAAAATGAAATATAAACGGCAGATGACAAACGAAAACATTTTTTTCATAACTTTTTGTTGGTAATAACAAAACAAATTAAGAACATAATTAAGCAGATGGTTGTGACTTGAATCAATTGTCTCTTAAAGCTACATCTAATTTTCATAGATACGTTCAAGTTCAGGTTATGCTGAAAGCTCCAAGAAACCATCGGAATGGAAGGAACTGACGTGTAAGAGATTGAATTTTTATACACCAATTATGTACGGCTTTTGCATGTTAGGAAACTGAATGCAACTTCCTTATTTTTATCATTTCAACTTAGAAATAAATGAAAGATGCGAAATATCTTTTAGACCTTAATTTCAAACCTCGGCAATTCCTTCTAGTTATTGTCAGGTGCTCAGCGCTATGAGATTTCATTTGTTTCTTAGTAAACGTCGGCAAATGTGTAGTGACATCATCACAATTTGAAGCCTCTGATTGGATAACGGATTGAACAGCTCTTCCCTGACAACCGGGAGCTGTCAAGTAGACAGAAGCATTATTCGCAATATAGTACAGCCACTCTCCTTGCTACTGTCGCGACATTCTCGTGAAATTTAACTCTTAAAGGAATCAATCTCCAAAGTATTGGTTAAAATGTAATAATGTAAAACATATTTCATTAAATACCGGGATATTTTTCAATTTAAAATATTTTGTGTCAGACAATATGATATATATTCTCATAATTAATACATTGTCAACAAGGATAACTATTTCAAATCATAAACACTAGTCACTGTCAAGCGTTTCATCTAGCCTGGTCGCTCTGAACGTAGGAATTGAGCATTACGTAAATGGCAATTCGTTCAGTTGCCCAAATCGCCATCAAATCTAAATACACAATAGAAAGTTTAATTTAATTAAAATCTATAGTTAATGAAATGTGTTTTTGACAAACGGACAAGTGCAAAATTTTACGTAAGTGACACAATGTCTCTACTTAGTATCTCCTGATAAAGGACGAGTCTTTTCCAGTAATTATTGCAGGACCATGCTGCATGCTGTTTTTTCAAACCCGCTCGATATCGCTGCCGAGCTTATCCACAAATTGGCTAGCTGCTATTATCAAACGAATAAAGATTACTCAAACCGGGCGTGAAGCATGCCCCATAAGAGTAGGAATTGCCGCACAACTCGAGTGAAAAAATCTTACATTTGTTTATTTGTGCGCACAGTAATTTTTTCCGCTACCTTTCTACTTTTCACAGATGAAATAAATGATAAAATCTGTTGATTTAAAATGCATTTTCTGACATTTAGCGTATAGCTTGATCGCGAGAACTCGCGAAAACGCATGACTTATTCCTGTGTCATTTCATACGTCCTGGCAACTACTTTATAGGATTTTAAAAAATTGCAGAACATTTGGTAAATTGGTTAAAAAGTTGTAGTAAATACTACTTCCGAATCCAAAAGTAATGTCAGATTTGTATGTAGGCTAAAAAACTCTAGGATTTGTAGTCGACATAGTACTCCTATCAACTACCATGCCCGTTGTATATGGTTCTTCATTTTGATTACTTTGTTGGCTATTTTCTAATTGAACGATACGTCTACTTTATTAATATATTTTCTACTCTGACAATTAGTACTACGTAACCCAAAATCATCAAGATATATCAATAACGATATTAGGATAAAACAAAATTACAAGTACGTAATTTCCGCTTCAAAAGCCTTGACCAATCAAGTAATACCGCTTAGGTAGTCTGCTTTACCCACGTTTAAACAGCCGAACAGTTACGGGCACAACACTAGAGGAATAAGCCTAAGTCATTGCATAAAAACCTTCCATTCTATTTCCCCGAACTACCAATCCATTCTTTTTACGATCAACTCTTTTTGTAAAAAATGAAAGAAAAATTATCAAATTGCAGCAATGGAAATGAGCGATTGAGAGGAGTGTTGTGAAAACGCAGGTGAGGAGCGGCGCCGCCATGATCCCTCCGTCGCAGCTGCCGTCAACGGACTCGCTGGACGGGCTGACGGCCGCCACCCCCGACTCCGACCCGACCAACCTCGTGTGCAGCCTCAAGTGCGCGGGCGGGCGCTGCGCCCCGCACTGCGCGCAGCGCTTCGCCACCGCGCGCTGCTACGTCACCCTGCTCGTCCTGCTCTTCCTGCTGCTGGGCGTCGTGCGCGGCTACATCGGCGGCCTGGCCTTCCTCGTAGGAGACCTCTTCGGGTTGCCCGATGTCGCCGTCGGTAAGTTTCCACTCCGGTCAGCGGTCACCAACTGCTGGGCCGAGTGGTGTTGGTGGCCGTTGGTGGACTGTAAAATAGCTAATCATTATTTGAGTTTTTATTCCTATTGATGAAGAAGCCGAAAATCCATTTACTAATTTCAGACAAGAGCAAAAGATGTAAAAGCTAAAGAAGCTTCGGAATTTTGTTGTAATTAAACTCACTTTAATCGTTAATTACAATTTACAATCTTTAAAGATATTAGCATTAATAAGCATTACGATGACGTTAAAATTAAATAAACGCATTATTTCTAAGTAGATGAATTTCATATTAAAAAATTGGAAGTTCGTCCGCAACTGAATTGTTGCGAACGTAAATATTTTTTATGGCTACAGCAACATTTGCCGCATTAGTTTAACCGAGATTCATTCATAGTTCAGCATTTTCACCTTTGTAAGGGGTTCCAAACTTTGCCACCTTTTTCAAAAGTAGTTTACAAAAAATAACATTTTTTATTTCATTATTATCTACTTTTTAGAGAAGCCAGTATATGCTCTAAAAGACTGGGAAATATGAATTATGTACTTTCTATAAATGCAATGGACTTAACCTCAATTTTTTTGAAGAGCAAAATATGTCGAAAGCAACTAAAATACTAAAAACAATATTAAAGTCATGAAAGTGAAAATGGTTCAAATGTTTAGAAGAACTCCTGTACTAAGTAAGTGGCATAATGTTCATGCACGTCACAAAAGTTATTTAGAAATTGCTTCTTGTAGCCTCTGATTTTTAATGTGCACACCAACATGTTAAGTGGGCTCTCAGCGCCTTTGCATGTGCTCCGATCCAGAGCTGCTGCTGGTGGGCGCGGAGACGGCGCAGGGCTTCTCGTCCATGCTGGTGGCGCACTGGGGCGCGCGCGGCCACCGGCCCTCGTGGCTGGGCGCGCCGGCCTTCCTGCACGCGGGCGCCTGCTTCGCCGCGCTCGTGCCCTTCGTCACGCACGCCAGGGCCCACTGGCTGCCGCCCGTGCGCAACACCACCAACGGTCAGTAGTGGATGGATGAGATGAGCAATTGTGACTGTTCCTGATGTTGCCGAACGGCGCGGGAGGTACCGAATAATCACTAGCCTTGAATTTTCACAGTAAAAACGCGTGACAATGTTCCAAGCCTTTTTGGCGTCGAGAGCGAGGAATAATCCTCCTTGAACCTAAGCCATTCATATGCCAAGTTATTATCTGTTAGGGGGCCAGCGTCGTATCCGGGGATCCTGGACTATCCCCCATTCAGGGAAATGGGGTATCTCGAATTGCTTGACTTTCGTGACTTCACAGAGCTTTATTAAGAAGTTCGACTACCGACGCAGGCAATCATTTTGCAATCGTAAAACATGCGTAACATAATATTGTATTATTAAGAAAGAAGAAAATGTTTGTTATTTTGTGGTGAATGAAATTTTTCTTTCTTCGAATGCTCATTCGAATCGAAATTTGAAACAATGTATGTACACTGTAGCATATCTAGAGCAATTCAGGTTAAGAGTTTTGCAATACATTTCTGACTAAGAGTAATATTTCTTTATATTTATTGGCCGGGAAATTTGTATCTGCCTCACAAATACATTTTTTTATAATGAAGGCACACTTCGAAGACATTTCTTATCGCCAAAACAACTCAATGACCGCTCATGAAAGTTATCACTTCTAGTCAAAAGTGTTAAAAAATAAGAAAGGAAATATATTGATACAACTTTGGGGTTTCGTGCAGTGTATTCGCAAAAGCGCCACTAGGAAAAGAATCTTCTAGAAATCTTAAGAACATTTCACGCGCAAAGTTGACCCTATTCCTGTAAGTAAACATAAATACATACTAACTGGCAACATCGGAAAAATACTGTGGCAATTTTGTACGCCGCGTGATATCCTAAGTAATGTAATGAAATGTCATTTTGGCAGCATGAGGAATAATCGCCATTCTATGGCTGTGTCTTCTGAAAAAAATCCTACACGCGGCGATTTGAGTCAAGCGTCACGGAAGTTGGCACAGCAGGAATGCTGTATCTTTGTTGGCGCTTGTCTGCGAGCCGCTGGTGCGGCCCCCTGCTTGCCAATTCAGCCCGGGGAGCGGAATGGGGAGGCGTTTGGGGTGTTCAACTTAAGTCGAGTGAAAGGCGAATAGCACATACGTCACTGTAGGGAGTGTGGCTCAATTTTTTGCATTTGAGCAGCCCTGCGCTCAATAGCTGTCGATTATAATAGGATTTCGCTCGCCATGATGTCATGAGCGAAAAGCGCTCGGCCGAGAAAACCGAAGATCTGATGCACGGTACTAAGAACTCCCAGTTGAAATTCAATTGTAAGCAGTAGAACTCAACGATAAATACATCGCGAAGTTGAAACTACAGAGGAGAACAAATTATATGAGAAAGCGGGAATGACAGGAGTAGTTTACTCTAGGCTGGCAGAAATTGCTAGAATATTTTGTATTCCTGCTATAAGTGCAGCAAGTGACAGAAACATTTCAGTTGGTAATCTTATGTCATAAGAGGTTATTATTTATTCGTAAATAATTAATTAAATCCAAGTTTTGAAAAGAAATCTGTAAAACATTTATTAATTAATTGCATTTCTATACAGATTCAGCTCTTTTACATGCAGTAGTGACAGTAGATATAGAAAATAGAATATTAGCCTGAAAGATTTCTCAAATTTGTTACTTCGCACTTCTTACTTCGTAGTTTTTTCGCACATGACATGTCATCTATTCGTACCTAAAGAGACGAAGCGAATTTGTCAGGAATATTGCTCTTACATGAGAATGATCCCACCGCGAGCGTAGGAAACTCTACCTTAATGCTCGAGGCTGAAACGCTCGAGCTTGAACAAATGATACGCCTTGAAGCACTTTAATGCTCACACATTTGCTCGTAAGATTCCTCCTCCGATGTATTCAAATATTATATTTCTACAAAAGCTCTCAAACTCAAATGAAAATAAAAATGAAAGTCATAAATAGTCAACTAAAAGAAAATACAGCCTGGCCATCAAATTAACAACAGTCACAATACTAGTAACAGTTTGAGAGAAAACTTCATTTTTATTACCAACATCTTCAGCAATACAGGATTAGAATTTTTGAATTTACACTTGAAGGGAACTTTTAGGAGAATTAAAATAATTGGTCCCCTTCTTAACGTTAAAAGGTATAATTAACACATAGACAACATTAAAACAACGAAAAAATTCAAAATGTGCGCTACCTATTTCATAGAAGATTCAGAGAATAGTAATAAATTTAATATTGAAAAAATTGGTCTTTTGTTAGCGTTGTTTCACAGTTGTTTGGAGTTGGGGTGCAAAAACAAATAACACACTCAGATTTACCCATTCGATGGCCAAGTTCTGTCAATGCTATTAAATATTATCTTCAAGTGAAAATAACGTATATAAAATAACAAGTGGTGCTGCAGAATGACACACACTTTCCCGAATGAGTTTTAGATTTCCCTTGGTCTTGGCTAGCTATCTGAACATGCTACCTACTCTTGTCTGCTGCCATCTATCGCCGCCCAAAGTACAATTTTTTTGATAACTTTCTTCATTTTTCGTTTTCCCAATAGTAGAACGGAAATATGAATTTAATAATATTAGAGAACTGTAAAACTACTTCCTAAGTGGCAATTTTCTTTGAAAAATTGAAAAATTGATCTGTTTTCAAGAAAATGGCGATACTATAACTTCGATATTTTCACATCTAAGCACGTTTTCACAGAAAATGTTTGAGTTTTCAAAAAAATTCATTTCAAGCACATTAAGTCACAAATATAATAGTATTTAGAAATTGCTATTAAAGTGCGTACTAACAGCGTGAGAAAACTTTCACAAAAATTACAGTGTAATTTTTGAAAATCCAAAAAATTCCCCTGAATGAACTTAACGTCATATTAAAGAGTGCAATTAGAAAAATTACATTTTTGTATTTTTTGAAAAAACAATATAGAGAAATATGGCTTTTAAGTCGTCTCATAGAATGCATTTAGTGTATCTCATGAAGTGCATTCGTACCAAAATTTTAAGGAAAAAAATTGGAACCGTTTTTGAGAAAATTTTTACACAAATTGCATGCAATTTTGCGCGAAAACTACTAAAATTTTCAAAAAAATGTACTTAATCTTAATGAAAGAACAAATTACAAATAACTAATTTCATTTCAAGGAAAAATCTCTATCTTTAATTTTGTAGTTGTAGGAACGCTCTGAAAACAATTCAAACTTTTGAAATTTTGTAAAACTCAGAGTTAACCGTGAAAATCGGACCTAAGTCACCTCTATAAGTGTATATTACTATATTCTTAGAAGATTTTTTTTTAAATTTGGAGACGTTTCTGAGAAACTTTTGAAAATGTCCCAGGGGCTTCCTGTAAACCCCCAAAAGTAATGAATGATGTTGAAAATGGCAGAGCTTCGACTCAGGCCAAATAAACAGGGGTTTCTTCAATTTGCAAACAAATTCTACGCATGGTTTAGGCGCTAGTGGTTTTCACATACATCAGACGGATAGAAAGGCGAACGGGCGGACGGATGTTTCTAAAAAACCAACACTTTTTCGGTTTCAGGGGACCCCAAAACGTGTATTCTGTTGATGTCTCTAAATCTATTTCCCTCAGCATTATATAACGTTCCCTACACTACGTATATTACTCCGTATATACGTATGTATATGGGGAAGTAAAAAGCGAATTCTATGAATAGTGAATCTCAAGAAAAGTAAGAGATAATAAGTTGAGGGATCATGGCCCCCTTCATTCTCCCCCTGATGTGGATCCTACCCTGAACCATTGCTTAATTTGCGTGCATCTTTTCCCGGATTTCCTTCCAGAGTACTTGTGCGAACTAGTCGCGCCAATGCACGAGACAAATGAGGTGGAGACGTGCTGGACCACGCTGGTGGTGCTGGTGGCGGTGCAGCTGACGGCGGGCATCGCGTGGGCAGCGCTGCTCACGCACGGCATCGCCTACCTCGACGACAACGTTGACTCCGAGGACAGCCCCGCGCTCTTGGGTGGGTTGCATTTAACTCAGCGATCTAGTGCACTTTTCTTCATTCTCGGCTCACCACTGACCGCACAGAAACCCACGTGATGAGTTGTAGGAAATTGAATGTCTCAATTGAAATGTATATTTGTATAAAATTATGAATTTTAATGAACCTACCACAAAAAAGTCTACTTTAAGAGTTCCTTGGTCACGTATTAATTAGTAATTAATTTAAAACTATCATATTCTTCAATGTTCAATTTTTATATTTTTCACGTAGCCGAAATCGTTAATCAAGTATGAATATGGATACGAACATGTATGTAAGAACTTTTGCTCTGTAATTATTTTGGTTAAATGATATCATTGTAATATAATTTCATAATACCATAGCATTATTGTACAAGGTGAATATTGTGTGCAGTATAGTGTAATTGATTGACGATCCCTAACACCCAGTGTTTTGAAGGCGGAGTGCTGGGTGCTGACCGGCTTGGCCCTCCTATCGGACAGGTGTTGGCCTTCGTCTGCGCCTCGAGAACTGGCGACGTGACAGCTGGAGGCGAAGTCAGCAAAATCTGGTGGCTTGGTGGGTATCCGGTGCTGTCAGCGCCGTTCTGCATCAAATCAGGCTCTCACCGTCTTTTCTTGTTTTTTAACCGAAACAATCAGTTCTCGGAAAAATAAACTATTGTTAGTTCAGAGAGAATATTTGCTCGGTCAGAGGCTGTCTGTTCACAAACTGCAAATTGCAATTTGGTTTTTCGTTTTACTGTTTTTTAGACGTTTATATTCGTGCGTCCGTATGTCCTATCTCTCTAAACAGCTTTTTCACGGTTCATTGCACGTTTACACTTGCTAAAATGTAAATATTTTATTTACATATTATTTAAACAATAGTTATTAGCTTATTGTGTAACAATTTAAACAACAGTTATTAGCTTATTGTGAAGAGGCTTTATGAACTTATTTCCAGAAGTTTTTTTAAATTCATTTTCTACCAAATTGCTGGGATGTCGAACACTAGATCTTGTAGAGGGGAAAATTATATTAACACGGTGATTTCCAATAATCTCAACTGCTTATGATAAAGTGAGTAATAATTTACAATACTTCGATTAAGAAAATACATATATAAATATATATGATGTACACTTGTACGAAACATCCGATTGAAACAGTCAAATTTGAATTTTGTGAGTTTTTTATTACCAACTAGACGTAAGTATCCATGGGAAATTATTACTGTGCCACTAAATTACTGTAACATTTCTCGGAGGTGAATTAAAACCTCCACACACAGGTATTTAAACTAAAACGTTTATTCTTAATCAATTATACACTAAAACTACTTGATCTATTTACAGATATATTACACAGTCCTTGTGTTCTTCACTTACTTATTTTCTTAGACATGACTCCGTTCTCTTGATTATTTATTTACACAGTTCACTTCATCTGATTATTTATTAATACTGTTCACTGCAATCTCATTATTTATTTACACTGTTCACTTCTGCACTATCGCACAGTCCGCTGCACTGTTCACGGTCCACTGCGCCGACCACAATTCCCTGCGCAGGCCACACATCCACTGCACTGACCACAATTCACAGCGCAGACCATAATTCACTGCGCAGACCAGGGTCCACTGCACTGCTGTTTACCACACTTCACAGCTCAGCTTCCACTGCAGACTTCACACTGATGACTGCTGTTCACCCTCTGCACCACTGTTCACCGCAATGCACACTTTACAGCACAGCTTCCATTTCAGACACACTGTTTACTGCTTGACTGATTACATACACTAACTGATTCACGGCTGCTTAATGTCGACTAGTACTCTGACGGCCGCCGGCAGCGGTAAATTTATACCTGACCGGCGCTCGCCTCGAGCCTTCGCGAAAGTGTGCAACACCTCAACGCGACTCGCGAATGGCCCGGTACCGTCCAGTTCGGGGGGAAGAGGGGACGCAATCCGCGCAGAGAATCCCGGTAGCTGATGCATTATTCGTTACATTACGAACAGTTTTGTTACATCTGTGATGGTAAAAGTCAATTCGTAACCTAAACGGGTAAACCTGGATGTATGTGGATGGGTTTGGGTATGTTAAACGAGAGAGGTGCAAAACCGAGGGGGTAAAATTGGGTGGTACGCTTCCCATAGGAACGCGTAGGAATTAAAACGAAGTACTTTTGATTTTCAAAATCAAAATTTTACATTGATAGAACACTTTTGTTTTAACAGTGTAGTTCGGTATTTGACAGCATCTTTCAGTGAATCTTTTCTATCATTTTTGTTACGATTCTAGCAACTATTTTGTATGTAAAACACTTTCAAAACTAGTAATACAACAGCACAGACTCAATCGTAACGACTACACAATATAACACTTGCCAGACATGTGAAACCATTACGCACTTTAAAATCATTGTTTAAAAATTTGCAAATAACTTCTTTGATTACAACTTCAAATGGATCAGCCCCTAAACTCCAAAATATCAATCTGAATAAATAATACGTAAAGTAATTAAATTTACTATTCCACTTGTGTTCTTCACCAATCAACACCAATAGTGTTTAACTATACATACAAAATGACCCAATCAAGGCGGTGTATCTCAAAACGTTTATCGGTTTTTTCTCCGATTTTTCTTACCGCTTCTACCTATTGGCCAATCAAAATCAGGGACTCAACTATCTTGGGAGGCGTTATACATCGATTGCTATGTCGATTTCCAATAAAGAGCGTGTGTACTCTAACATAACCTCTAATTTTAACATACGCTTCCAGTTATTTTCAATATTTGGCGTATTTTGAAACTCTGTTTGATATAATACTCGTGGAATAGTCCTATTAAAAATCACTCGTGCTTTGGAAATTCTCAGATAATCCCCATCCGCGCATCGCGAGTCGGGAATTTATCGACAATTTCCAAAGCACTTGTGGTATTACCTATGATAATATTGTTAAAGCATTAGTATGCCCGTCATGACGTATGCCCGTATTGACGCGTCATTTCTCGCCACGTAAAGCATTAGTATGCCCGTATTGACGCGTCATTTCTCGCCACGTAAAATAAGGCATTAATTCAATTCAGTTCATTTAATTGTATATAGATTTCGAGGTTCTACTCTATACTCACATGTAGTGCATGCTATGGAGGGAGGAGTACCCAAAAATGTCTATATATTGAAAAATGAAAAAGAAAATTCAAAGGGTCTCATTTTCTAGAATACTGCACAACTGGGCTCCACCTGCCCCTGCATGTTCCCCCACATATTACCCGCACGCGTGCGGCGCGGCGTGTGCGCAGGCTGGCCGATCCTGGGCGCGCTGGTGCTGGTGGCGGCGCTGCTCATAGCCATGTTCCCCAAGCGCCTGCCGCAGGCCGCGGTGCGCGAGCGCGCCAACTTTATCCTGGAGGCGGTGTGCCGGCGCGTGCGCATCGACGAGCAGGCGCAAGACGTCGACATGCCCACCGGTGAGCCCCGCAACAGCCCAGCGCTGCACCCTACTCGACAGGGAGCGCTGTAATAAATAAATAAATAAATAAATAAATAAATAAATAAATAAATAAATAAATAAATAAATAAATAATAAGCGGTATTTTCTTATTGCTAATATTAAAAAGGATAATTATAATATCGACATTCTACGTGTTAAATGACCTAGCTTATATAACTTATTAACTACCTGAATTCTTCAAATTATATTCATGTTTTGAAAGAGACAGCTAAGTCTACTAAATTAATAAATAGATTTTATTTGAAACTCTGTGAGAAAGTATAATTCCATAGGGTTTTGATGAAACTAATGTACAGAGCATGTGTGAGAAAAAGTTTTATCTTGCATTCCTCGGGCTAGGGATATCTGTGACAATTATTGGAATAAAAATGGATTTCTCTTTTCTGTAAATAGAATCAGCCATTTTTTATTGAACATCATTTCATTAGCATTGTCCTCAGAGCTGGTTTAACGAGATGCGGGGCCTGTAGCACTTTTATCATGCGGGGCCCCTGTTATTAATTTTTCTGATTTTTTAAGGCATAGTTAAGCGCATGGTATATGAAAGAACTTTAACCTATTTCCGATAATTTTTTTAAAATCAATCTTTAGCAAAATGTAACTTTGTTAATCACTGTTGAGACAATACTGTATATTGTAAAAAAAGACTGTTAAAGTATATATAAATACTTAAATCCAATTACCAGTACTCTAGCAAAGTTGTACCCTGAGAAAAGAGGTTTTTGGACCAAATATTACTAAACTTCTTTCTATTCGGTCAACGAAGATCGCATGGTTGGTTTAACAAAGAACATGATTATGCTGAATAAATTGTTAATGTAATTTATACATGATCTTCGTTAAACCAACCATGCGATCTTCGTTGGCGCATAGTAACAATGCTTGTTGTTACAACAAAACTTTTTTCTCAGTGTAGGTCAATATTGAGACATTTGTACATTTTATACTAGGTAAATATGATTTTGATGTCTTCAAAATAATTCATAATATAGTTTAAATGGAATACCATTCTTTTTGTTTATTATTACTTACAGTTTGAAAACAATAACTTGATTGAAAATAATCCATATTTGAAGTGTTATCCGGTGATATATAACAGATATAAACAAAAACAAGTCAAATTCTTCTCGTCGATACAAAATATTTGAATATTGCAATCAAAATTGAAATATATTATTTTTTTAAAATATTAAAGTATAAACATTTAATAAAATGGTGTGAATAATTTTAATTTTGATTAAGTTTTGTTATTTTACCTAATCAAACGTTTACGCAATTTTGCAGTAGATAACTCCTCCATTATTCTTTCTGTATCAATTTTTGTGAGCAGTTCGTGTTCGATACTCATCAGAGAAAGGTTGTTCCCTCGTGTTTGGCCCATACTGGCTCTTATTTCACTCTTAATACGCTTCAGTTTGGAAAAAGAACGTTCGCTACTACAGTTTGTTACCATCAAGGAGAGGCCAATTCTCAAAACAATTTCGACATTGGGAAAACAAGATCCTAGACAATTTTCTTGAATAATCTTGTACAATTTGAATTAATGAAGGTCTTCCTGGTTTTCCAAGAAAGTTTTCTGCTAAGTTTGTTTTCAAAAGTTCACTGAATTGAATCATGTCTTCACTTAGTACACTTTTCAAATCATCGGGGTATGCTTTGATCAGTTTTAACGAAGCCTCTTTCATATCTTCTGACGCAGATTCTTCAAGGGGACGAAAAATGCCAAACAAGTTCTTCAATTTGTTATATGTTGTTTGTCTCTGCGATAATGCAGCAAACAAACTGCCAATAATAACCAATAAACTTTCAACTTTGAATTTTTCGGATGATCCATGCATATCATTGATTCGTTTGTTTCTTCTTCATCGTGAATGTTCAGGACTTTAATGGTCGCAAGATGTTATGTTTTTACTTTGTCTTTAATATATGTAAAGTTCGGTCAGATAGTTTCAATGTATCCATACAGGGACTCGTACAATGCACAAGCAGAATTAAGATCTTGATGTTGTGATTGTAACGAAATGCTGGTTGACTGAAATCTCAAAAAAGTTTATCC